GAAGAAAATGCCGATAATATCGGCGAAATATTGTCGATATTATCGGTTTTTCGGGTGATGGATATTCTAAGTGGTATCCGAATGGTTTTCGGCCAAATATCGTGATAATATCGATAATATCGCGATATTACCGATATTATCGTAAAAGTTTGGACGGAGAAGAAGGCCGGAGGTTCTACAGCCTCGCCGGAGATGGGTGTGACTATTCCCGAGCCGATTTCATCCCAAAAACCTTGCAAAAACACGAGATAGAACTTCAATTTCACATCTAAGCTTCAATCTAGAACAGATTCAACAGAAAAAGGTAAATCCGAAGCTTACCTAACCGGAGAAATTCAACAGAAAAAGGTAAATCTGAAGCTTCGATCTGATGATGTGTGATGATGGTGGTGTCCTCGATCTGCTCGAGTCGAGCAGATGGTGCTGCTGCGTGTGTGTGTGGTCACGGCAAGAGAGGGAGAGAGGTAAGAAGGTTTCGAGAGAGAGAGACAGTGCAGAGAAGAGAAGAGAGTGAGAGAAAGAAATAATAGAAAAGAAAAAGGAAGAGACAGATGCTCTTTCGGGCAAGAATGGGACAGGATAAAGAAAAGGAAAAGTGGGTAATCGGGCAAACTGTAAAAACAAGGAAAATGGCCCAGATTTTTTTTTATATTTTCCTTTTCTCCTTTTTATTTATTTTTTGTTGCTTTGATCTATTGAAAGCAAGATGAAGAACGCAAAATGTACATAAGAAAATAAAGGAAGAAAAGTAAAATATATATATTATATATAATTATAATTATTGTAATTTGGGCACCATTCCCATCAAAACAAAACAAAAACAAAGCCCTTTCGGGCAACTCAAACAAAGGAAATAACAACCTATGTCGGGCAAGAACTATGCCCAAGTCAGGCAAAATACAAAGATAATAAAGAAAAAAGAAAAGAGCCTAACGCCTAACAAGGAAAAAGAGAAACCATAGCCTATTCGGGCAACTTAGAGGGTATTTGGGCAAACTGCAAAAAAAAATATCAAGGGGATTCAAACCCCTCCCTTTGTCAACCACACACCTAGACCGTATCCAACTCGCTATAGATGTGTTTGTAATTACATATTCAGCCTGTAATATTTATATGGTTGTTAAGATGTCTGCAAGGCTTGCAAGCTAATATTTATTATCTAGGATAAATTTCTATATTTAAAAAAACACCAAGGGGATTCGAACCCCTCCCATTTTACTCCTTCAACACCTTGACCACCATATCACTTATGTTTTTGTGAAAATATGCTAAAATACACTTACTCTACACATAGAGATGACGAAGATAGTGAAAATTTTGAACCCCATAGGAACTCTATGTGGTACTAAGTCACCATGTATCTTACCATGCAATGTATAAAGTGTCAAAATATTGTATTAATTCATTATATATAAATGATTATAGTGTGTTTAAACTTCTTTCATTAATTACTACATATTTTCTACACTCACAATGTTTGCCAGCTCGCTATATAATCAACTTAAATCAGTTAAATTCATCATGCAATGCATTTCCTTCCAATTTTGTGTGATAAACTAATAGATAATTGACTAAATAAACATCCTGCAAAGTTTCAATAAAAATTTCCAAGTTTTTCTTACAATTTCCGTGGTTTCCATATAATTTTTATCGATATCGATATTATCCCGATATTTCCATTGATATTTCCGTGTTTTCGGACTACCGATATTTCCGATATTACCGATATTTTCTTCCTTGGTTTTAACTAAGAGATTTCACAAATTGAACCAGCTTATGAAACCACTTGTCTCCAGCAATCGGGGATCACTAAATGTCTGCTCAAGCTTCTTGTGTCTTCAGCTTTTGTCCATTCTAATTTATTTTGTGTATGAGAGGACTAGCCATTTGGGTTAGGTTCTTTATTTTATTTTTACCATTATTACTTTTATTTCATTTTTCGCGATAATAATATTTTTAACAACACTAAAATGATGAGGGAGATTTTGAACTCGAGATGCAGCGAGTTGAAAAAAGAACTTTTTATAGAAAATACGATCGTGATATCCAAGTCAAAATAGGATCGTGGTTGTTTTTCTTTTCTTAGAAAATTTCGTATTGTACAAATATTACGATTTTATTTTCTATTGTAAATAGATTAGTAATATGTTTTCCTTACACTAAAAGTAGGTTGGGTTCGCTTCAGTTCGGTAATTGAACTGAAAACCAAAAATCGCTTCGCGAAATCGACACCCAAAAATCACTTTCCGAACTATGTTGGTATACCCACTCCTGTGGCATTCCAAGCAATCCAAACTAGTCCAAGACCGTTCAATCGTCCCGGCTTCAAATTTTTGGACCAACGATTGAACCAAGGGCATTTTCACCCCATTTCTCTGCAAATTTGACATTTCCCATCTCAAATCTTGCACTCGGAGTCCATTACACTTCCGTTACTCAAGAAGACATATATCGTCCAAGCTCTTCCAACCCAAATGTCAAACAACACTTGTCTTGACAAGTCATAGAGTTGACAAGCGCCCTTGCGTAGCCATCGGTCGCGGTGACGAAGACTTCAACACCATCTTTGCTGAGACTAATGACGGAAAGCACATCCATCATGTCATCTTCATCGATCTAAAGCCCACCGTCTTCTCTGATATGGAGCCTTGTGCCATCTTCTTTCGAGTCAAATTTCGATAAAATCAAGGGAGAGAGTGAGAGCATGCAAGCAAAAATGGAGGGATTTGAAGAAGTTTGGGTATGTTGAATGGCTTATGGATTTACAGAGAGAGAGAGAGAGAGAGAGAGAGAGAGAGAGAGAGAGAGAGAGAGAGAGGAACTTGGGGTTTCAGTTTGGAATAAAGAAGAGAGAAGGCTTTGGAAGGTTTCAAAATTACAAAGCAAAAGGGTCGAAAGGAAATTGCCAAGTTTGTTTGAAATAGGCTCTAGAAGTTTTTGTTGTATTATAGGAATAGGCCCATCCATTCATCCAAATTGGTGGGTTTCTAATCCCCCAGCAATACCCAACCATTGTATAATAGAAACGGGCTGGTCCGGGGTCCTGTGGGTTTGAAGATTTGGACCCGCCCTGCCCCGTTAATTTCTTGAACCCAGCCTGCCCCGTTTGTGTTTTACAATTTTCATACCCGCCCTGAACTGCATGGACCCGACCCGCCCCACGGGTCTAGTACCCGTTTGCCCACCCCTAGAGTGGCAGAGGGAGGAGGAAGGAAGAAGAAAGTTGCAGCTAGGGTTAAATGAATAATAGTTGTTGTTCTACCATTTTTGTTGGGACAAGTAGGGATATGTTTTCTTCATGAGTAGGGATATCTTTCCTTCATGAGTAACCTTCAACTTGGACAAAATAAGAAATTTATCATCCATTTCTTTCTTTAAAATGCCTTTAGGACAGTAAATAGTCATGCTTAAGTCAATCATCTCTACTAAACAAGGCCTTTATTTGTACATATATCAACAAACGGCTTCTTTGCTATTTTTAGTTAATTTGACATGCACATAGAACAACGCATGAATTTTGCTATTTTTTTGCTAAGTAAAGAAATTCATTTAAACATAGAAACCTCTTATACAACCATTTCAAATACAATCAAACATAAAAGCATTGTAAGCCTTATCAGGAATACAATACTCCCAAATATGTAAATTTTGTACAGAGGGGCCCTAACTAGCTATAAGACATGAGCTACAACGTTTGCTTCTCGGAAAATATGAGACCGTTTGATAGAATCAAATGAAGAAGCAAGCCACTAAATGTCTTCAATAGTGGATTTTAATTTCCAAGGAACTCCATACAATCCTTGAACAACATTGATGACCAACTTTGAATCACCATCCACCATGATCCGAGGAAATCCCTTGTGTCTTGCAAATTTTGAAGCTTCTCTCAATGCCACAGCTTTTGCCACCGGCATAGTTGTTTCTTTCAGATTCATAGCTCCAACTACGAAGGGTTGACCTTTGTCATTCATAATCACAAATCTGCCGCATTTTTGTTTTGGACAACAGAACCATCAAAGTCGACTTTAACATAAGAAGAGTCTGGAGGGTGCCATTTAATCATTTCATAAGGATAAACAGACCATGCTTACTCTTTTTAGCATTAACTTTAAAATAAGATAATCTTGTTGCAACAACAAGAGTGATGGTATGAGCAGGATTTAGTTGTAAGTTCCTAAACACAAATGCATTTTTGTCATTCCAGATTTGCCAACAAGTTAACAAGGCCTTGCTCAGTGCACAGAGCTCAACTGTTTATGAATGGTGCAAAGTTGAATTTTGCTAATGGGAACCTCCCTCATCAAGCAAAATCCCTCCCTTAAAGAAATAATGAGATGCAATCCAAATAAAAAGTTATATGAAAGGAAAATATACAAGCAAGCAAGCCTTACCAACGATGTATAAGTGATGTAAACCAGATTCATATACGTACCAACGTAATTTACAATCTTCACATGCTTGCTTATAAACAATACAATATCAACATTAAAATCTCAAACCTTACAAGATGTATGTACTTTACACTAGTATGTAATGCATTAAAATCTCAACGTCATGTAATAAGTTCCACCCTATGATCTCATAAACCTCAAAGTCGATTACTATTCAAAACTATAAAATAAGTTCAACCAAATTTCCTAATGGACACATTAAAAAGTATATTCGTTTTTCTTCAAAACTAAATAATTTTGTCAGCAAATATTGCATAATTGATTCCATCCCTCATAAAAAAAAAAAATTCCATCCATATTTAGAAGCAAAGAAGTGGAAGAGAGGGATACATATTTACACACACAAAAAAGGAGTTCAAATGCAGTTGTTTTCATGAGAGAAAAATTATATTCACTATCTAACAATCAATTATCACATATTTTAGCATTGCATATAGCCATTGAGCATAAGATTTTGCTTCCTTTTTAAATTATTAATAGCCCAACAATTGCATAAACCTAAAAATTGAATATTGCAAACTTTTGATGCTCCTTGATGAGCTTGCTTATATAGTTTTCACACCATTCTTCTCTCGCTCCTCACACACACCTCAATGCTGTATTTCTTTTCTCCTTTTACCCCCATATCTCCACACCCTTCTCCTTTCTCTCTCTAAATTGGTGCACAAAACCAAGAACCAAGAACCAAAAGCCTAATCTAATTCCTAATTGGGGAGAGAGGGGTAGACACATGCTTTGAGGGTTTGGCTTTTTAGCTCTCCTCCTCCTCTCTTTGTCAAAAACACACCTGAATTCTCTCCTACCCTTCCTTGAACTCCTCTCTCTCCCCCCCTCACTCGCTCATCAATTTGCAGCTTCCTTCAACACAATCTGTCAAAGGCACTTGATTTACTTGCGAAAGCTTGAAGATTTAAGGGTATCGTGACAAACCCACATAGCCTCAGCTCGCAGGTTTGAAAATAACCATTAATTTCCTCCTCTGTGATGCATTTCGGATACCCAATTCAATTGGGTATTTGAAATCGGTGGATTTAGATTGCTGTATATTGTGAACCTCTAATTCTGTTTGGTATATATATATACAATTCGTTTCTGTCTGGGCATTAGGGTTTTTGAGGTGGAACAGTTTTGGTTTTTGGGTTTGTTGTGTTCCTTTTTACTGGTTCTGGAACTTGGTATTTGAGCTTGAAGGTTACATGTTTATGGGTCTGTGTGTTGTTCTTCAGTGGTAATAAGATTTGGGTATTGTGAAGTTGAATGGTTTTGGACTATCGGTTTCTGGGTCATCTGTATTGATTGAGATATGAGTCGTAGGGTGCGGCGAAAGGTGGCTAGGAAGGGGAAGGAGAAGGTGGTTTTGCCTAGTTATCCGGAAATTGAAGATGAAGTTTCATGTCCAATGCAAAATGGGATTGTCAATTGGACTGGTTTGCCAGATGATACAGTCATTCAGTTGTTTTCATGTCTGAATTATCGTGACCGGGCAAGCTTATCTTCAACTTGCAAGACATGGAGGGTTCTTGGAATTTCGCCTTGTTTGTGGACGTCTTTGGATCTTCGCGCTCACAAATGCAATGATACCATGGCATCTTCACTTGCTTCAAGATGTGTAAATCTTCAGAAGCTTAGGTTTCGTGGGGCAGAATCTGCTGATGCAATATTGCATCTTCGGGCAAAGAATTTACGTGAAATAAGTGGCGATTACTGTAGAAAAATAACTGATGCTACTCTATCTGTGATCGTGGCGCGGCATGAGTCACTTGAAAGCCTCCAGCTTGGGCCAGATTTCTGTGAAAGGATCAGCAGTGATGCTATAAAAGCAATAGCTCTTTGCTGTCCTAAATTGAAAAAGCTTCGACTTTCCGGAATTAGGGATGTGCAAGCTGATGCTATTAATGCTTTATCTAAGCATTGTCCAAATTTGACTGATATCGGGTTCATAGACTGTCTGAACATTGACGAGATGGCACTGGGAAATGTTTTATCAGTTCGATTCCTCTCTGTTGCTGGGACCTCAAACATGAAATGGGGCGTGGTTTCACATCTTTGGCATAAGTTGCCTAACTTGGTTGGGCTAGATGTTTCAAGAACTGATATTGGTTCTGCTGCTGTTTCACGGTTGTTATCATCATCACAGAGCTTGAAGGTTTTATGTGCCCTGAATTGTCCCGTGCTTGAAGAAGACAGCAACTTTGCTCCTCGTAAATATAAAAATAAAATGTTACTTGCCCTTTTTACAGATATTATGAAAGAAATAGCTTTTTTATTAGTCGACATTACGAAGAAAGGAAATAATGTGTTTCTGTATTGGAGGAATTCCAAGAACAAGGATAAAAACTTGAATGACATTATGAGTTGGATTGAATGGATTCTCTCTCATACTCTTTTGCGCATTGCCGAGAGCAATCAACAGGGTTTAGATGTTTTTTGGCTCAAGCAAGGTGCATCTTTGTTGCTCACTTTAATGCAGAGCTCACAAGAGGATGTCCAAGAAAGGGCAGCTACAGGGCTTGCAACTTTTGTTGTTATTGATGATGAAAATGCTAGCATAGATTGTGGGAGGGCTGAAGCTGTTATGCGAGATGGTGGCATACGTCTTCTCTTAAACCTGGCAAAATCTTGGCGGGAAGGGCTCCAATCAGAGGCTGCAAAGGTATATAATTTTTTTTTCTCGTGCTATTATGACAATCGGCCCTTTTGACTAATTGTTGTATGATATGGTCTATAGTGTAGGAATTGGTCATTTGGTGATACACAGATTCATGATTATCATGCATGTAGATGTGGAATTAGGCTGACTCATTCCTTTAAATGTTCATTACTTGAATAGGCTATAGCAAACTTGTCTGTGAATGCCAATGTTGCTAAAGCTGTTGCTGAAGAAGGAGGGATCAATATTCTTGCGGGTTTGGCAAGGTCTATGAACAGGCTGGTCGCTGAAGAGGCTGCTGGAGGACTATGGAATCTTTCTGTTGGAGAAGAGCACAAGGTCTGATAGTCTACATTCTATTGTCTTATCACTTACATATGCCCCAAAATTTACTTGTAATCAATTAGGTTTTTCTGGTCAGGGTGCCATTGCTGAGGCCGGTGGAGTGAAAGCTTTAGTTGATCTAATTTTTAAGTCATCTGGTGGTGATGGAGTTCTGGTACATTACCTTTTTTTCACGTATTTCTCTCTTTACGTATGATGCTTATATTTTATGCAATACACTTTGGGTTGCTGTTGCATGGTGGTTTAAGTTGTGCCTTGCTTTCCATGTGTGTCATTTCAGGAACGGGCAGCTGGTGCACTGGCGAATTTGGCTGCTGATGACAAGTGTAGCACAGAGGTTGCTGTGGCAGGTGGTGTGCATGCTTTAGTGATGCTTGCTCGTAACTGCAAGTTTGAGGGAGTGCAAGAGCAGGTAATAGAACCTTCTGTTGCTATTGTTAAGCTCTATCTGACAACTCAACAAAAACATACTTCAAGTGTGTACAATTTTTCCTATGGCTCCAGATGGTTGAAACTTCAGGCAAAACTTAGTTCCAAGAAACCTTAAAAGCCGGTTTTGATCGACACCCACCACTTCAAGATTCAGGTTGTGGTGATTGGTTTGTCCTTTGTTTATAGAAAATCTCACACTATTTGTGATGGTTCTTCAAAGCCTGCCTAGATCTTAGGTTCATATGGTGTACCGCTGTATCTAAGTGCCAATTTATGGCCCACAGTGTAGCATTAAATTAGTGAAAAGTTTTCCTTATTCTATATAGCATCTGGTTCTTCTAGGGACTTTCCTTCACTATTGTATTGGCTTCACTCATTCAGACTCATCTGCGATACCTTTCCCAACATGATCTTTCTTTTCTTTTTTAGTGGTTCAGGTGTACATCTTGCATTGGTTCTCTCTCTCTCTCTCTCTCTCTCTCTCTCTCTCTCTCTCTCTCTCTCTCTCTCTCTCTCTCTCTCTCTCTCTTATATGCACCTGTATGTGTGCATTGTATTTTTTTTTTTAGCAAATTATTAATGCACTTCTTATACCAGGCTGCCCGTGCCTTGGCAAATTTGGCTGCCCATGGAGACAGTAATAGTAATAATGCTGCAGTTGGACAAGAGGCAGGTGCTCTTGATGCTCTTGTTCAGCTTACACAATCTCCTCATGAAGGTGTCAGGTAGTTTAATCTGGATCCTCTCTTTGCATTTTTTTAAGCAACTCTTGAATCTTTTGATTTAATGTTTTTGTATCAGTCTGATATTATTTTGTTATCTACAATATATTTTCTTTCAAGCAAACTTTCTATATTTAGATAATTTTTATTTTATACATGCATCAAAGGTTTAAGATACTTGCATGCCCCTTTCACCAATTACCACAATAAAAAAGAAACAGAATCCCACTTAAGGAACAAAAGTAATAAGAAATTATCAGTTGTTTAGGAATGTTCATTGTTGAGTGTGGTGCTCAATCTTTAGGCTTGTTGAGAGTATATCTCACTTTGGGAATGCAAAGCATTGTTTATTATACAATGTTAAGGGCCTCTGCACTGATGGCCCATTGTTTTGGGTTGGATGCCTTAACTTTTACTTGGTATCAGAGCAAGGAACCCAGTATAAGTTATCTACGCTTTTGGCTGCCACACCGAGGGGGCATGTTGAGAGTATGACCCACATCTGCAATGTAAAGCTGTGTGTTTCAATATAATGTCTTGGCCCTCTTCAACTCATGACCACTGGGTTTTGGGTTAGATGCTCTAATTCTTTCCAGACTAAAAATGATGCTGTGTTTAAAAGGCTGCTTTAATTGCTTAAGAGGCTAAATGGAATTCTAGTTCACTCATTAGTTGTTATTATCAACTTTTGTCTATGCAACCAATGTAAAACTATACCTTATTTTACCATTGAACAGGCAAGAGGCAGCTGGTGCATTGTGGAATCTATCGTTTGATGACAGAAATCGAGAAGCAATTGCTGCAGCAGGCGGTGTTGAGGCATTGGTATGATATTTACCTTGAATAATCACAACCTTATAATGTCAACATAATCCATGCTAGCGTCTCATTCAAATCCCTAACATAAAGTGTTTTTGGATAAGTATTTCTTGGAGTTGAACATTTTATTTACTATTTATTTACCCTGTAATAAATGCTGCATTATTATGAAAAAGTTTTTATCAAATGCTATACACATCTTAGGGTGACCAAAACATGTTACTTATTTGGATCTACAAAAAAATCAAAGCAAATTAATGAAACAGATGGTTTAGAAGCTTCTTTGTGTGTGAACCATTTCATATCTGCATCAAGATTTTTGGTCATGATTTGAATGGCATTTCGAATTTGGACTTGCACATATTGAAGTTGATGAACTGGAAAACGCTTCTAACATAAATATTTGTTTTATGTACTGTTAGTTTTTTATTTTTTATTTTCTTTATTGCAATTTAAATCCTACAGTATTATCTGGGTCTAGCTGGTTTCTTGTTAGTTGGACTAAAAAATGTGAATGTTGGCGTTGCTTGAAAAATGGTCCCTTTAGCTGCTTTTGCTTCTGCCAGTTTGTGAAGGTAAAAAAAAATGTGGATGTTGTGTTGAGTATGGAATTTTTTTTTGTTTAAAAGTTATAGAACATTTTGATAGTTTACCATTTGACCTGGAAAGTGATACTTTAACATTGTTGTTCTTTTTAAGCTTAAGTGTTCCCACTTGTTAAAATACAGTTTTTGTTATTTCATACCCAATAATGTTGCACTGTAAGTTTAAGCTACCTCATTTGGGTATGCAGGTTGCTCTTGCACAAGGCTGCTCAAACGCCTCCCCAGGCCTTCAAGAACGGGCTGCTGGTGCTCTTTGGGGATTGTCAGTGTCAGAAGCCAATAGGTATGTGCTTGCTCTTCGTAACACATCAAGCTAGTTCAAATCTATACGAGCCAAAGAGTTTGGACTAGCGATGCATATCTTTCTAGAGATATCGTTCATTTTTGTTTTAGTTTATGGATCAAAACCTTTTGGAATACCTGATCTCAGTCAGGTTCCTTATTCATTTAGCTAGATAATGATGATGAGCTAAACTTTTGATGGAAAACAAGCACATACCATGCTTATCACAAAAGAAAAAGGAAGGAAATAAAAGAAGAAAAAGATGCATGCAATCAGTGGCTTGAGATTCCTTTCCAATTATATCTGGAAGAATTTTTATGAGTTTGAATATCATATAAACTACAGCTGTGATGTAGTAAAGACTAAGATTCAGCAAGTTGCTGTTCGATCAAATTTAATTATAATTTATTTTGTTATGTGGTTATATGTTAATGAGAGACTTGTTTTGTAATGCAGCTAATGCTTATGATGGTAGCTAGACACTGGGTAATCAATAAGAAATCATTTCTGGGGAATGGATATTATTTGTTACAATGTCATATTGGCATCTATCGTAATTTTGGCTCTGCCAAATCTCAAATAATTTTAATTTACTGATAGCCTAACAAAGACAAAGCTGTATCTTATATTTCATGGGCATGCAATTAGTTTGTTTCATGTTTTGTTCTTTTTTCCCTTTTCATTTCATAAACCTTCACGTTTGCATTTTTCCAGTGCATTGCATTGCATTTTTAAGAGGTCGCACTTGGTGCGATGGCAAGTGCCTTCGCCCATGAGCGGTAGGTCTCGGGTTCGAGACTTGGGAGCAGCCTCTCCATAAATGGGGGTAAGGCTAGCCGACATTCACCTCTCCCAGACCCTGCGTAAAGCGGGAGCCTTGTGCACTGGGTACGACCTTTTTTATTGCATTGCATTTTTGCCCTTTTCATTTCTTAGAGCTTCAAAAACATTCCATGACTTGTTTGCAGGAAGTCCTGTAAAGTCACAGCTCTGGTATGGACATTGTGCCAAATAGTGCGATTCTGATATTTAAGGTGTTTGAGCTTGTGAGTGTAATATTGGTCGGGTTAGGTTTAGAAAGTTTTACCACTTTAATGTTTTTCATTGTTCTTTTATTTCTTACCATAGGGTTACTTTGTCATAAGATATTTCTGTTCATTTTGTGTGCAACTTCTAATCAAACAGACTTTCCAGCTTAACTTCTTAACACGTTTTAACAATGAAATTTCTCCTTATTTCATTGGTTGAGAAGATTGAACTTTAACCAAAAGTGTAATTTACATGAAAACCACAAAAAAGTAGCGAATCTGTGAGCAAAATATTCAAGTCTTCCAGTTCTCAGAAGCAGATTCCATCGAAGTATTTGTCAACCTGAAATTATAATATTATATAATTAATGCCTACAATTATTTTGCTTCTTTGTCATGGTTTTTGTGGGTACTGGAATAATTTTTATGCTGGAATGTTGGTCCAGTAATCTCTACGATTGTTTAGGATGCAACTTCCAAAATTACTCAACTGTGTGCTTTTAAAGAATAATCACTTGTGCATTTTATGAATGGATCAACTGAATGTGATCTGCAGTAGATTTCCTTTTTCTCCAGTCACATTGTTATTTCTTGAAATCTATCATACTCTTCCATCCAGAATACTCCTATGTTCTTTCATTGAGTATTGATATGAATTTTTTATTTAATGCTGTCACTATTGATTTTGCTCACTTTTTGTTGGTTGTTAGCATTGCCATTGGACGGGAAGGAGGTGTTGTGCCTTTGATTGCATTGGCACGCTCTGAAGCTGCAGTAAGTATTATTTTATTTTTCAATTATTATTTAAGATGTTCATGTTCTATGGTCAATTAGAGAAAATCAAGCACTATTATTTAATTAAATTTGGTATTAGCTGTCGTACATGCAGATTGTTTCAGAAATTAGTTTAATAGTAATAGAACGTGGTGGATCACTGCTCACCTAGGCACTGGAATTGAGCAATCAATTTATGGACATAATTTTTGTCTAAAAAGAAAAATAGGAGCAGAATCTAATACCAATCATTGAAGTTAAGTCTGAAAGGATTAGTATGAGTATTTTCATGTGTCGTTTTTTATTCAGTAAATAATATCTGACAGTCTGTATAATAATGTTAACAAATAATTGTGGAAACTGAAGCTAGGACCTCTACATCCAGTATTAGCTGTTTGGTCTTGTTTTACATTTGATGCACATGATGAGCGAAGCTTTTTATACTTGAACTTGTGTGTCGATACCTGTAACATCTTTTCGGGTGCATAGTTTCTCATGGCCTTGCATATAAATTCACTCATGTTCTAATTGGATACTCTTTTGGTCATTCAACCTTTTTATAGTCCTTCATGGGTATGCTTTAGTGAGTACAGTGCAATTACTTGCAAATATATGCTCATATTTCCTTACAACATCCTTTTGTTGAGCTTTCTTCATTCATGTAATTGGAAAAAGATTTGATTTGATTTTTCAACTTTCAGGATGTCCATGAAACAGCTGCGGGTGCTCTTTGGAATCTTGCTTTTAACCCTGGTAATGCTCTCCGGATTGTGGAGGAAGGAGGTGTTCCTGCGCTTGTTCATCTTTGTTCTTCTTCGGTGTCAAAAATGGCTCGCTTCATGGCTGCGTTGGCATTGGCATACATGTTTGATGGCAGGTATTTGTAGGCCTAACTGTTTTCTGTGTGCTTGCTACTCATTCTTTTGTTTCAAAATGCTGTTGAATGTATGGGATATTTTGTTCTGTATGTGATGTGGTTTAACGTCCTTGTGAGTCTGTATACTTCTATGTGGCCTCATTTTCAACCCACTGCATCCAGGGTTCAAAACCTCCTCCTCCCCTTAGTCTTAATAGTAATATCTCTTGTAGTAAGAAAAAGTATGTATGTTAAAACTTTGTTAATACTCTGCAGAATGGATGAGTACGCGATGATAGGGACTTCATCGGAAAGTGTCTCAAAGAGTGTGAGCTTAGATGGCGCTAGAAGGATGGCTCTGAAACACATTGAGGCCTTTGTCCACACTTTTTCTGATCCACAAACGTTTGGTGCTGCTGCAGTATCATCAGCCCCTGCAGCGTTGGCGCAAGTGACAGAAGGTGCTCGTATTCAAGAAGCAGGACATCTGAGATGCAGGTTCTCTCTCTCTGAACTAACGATTGTTGTCTACGAGGCTGAAATTTTAAATTTGCCCTGTAATTTTGCATATTTTTTTCCGTCTGAACATTGACGTTTCCTTGTACTGTCAGCGGGGCTGAAATTGGAAGATTTGTTTCCATGCTACGGAATACATCATCTGTTCTCAAGGCGTGTGCTGCATTTGCTCTTCTTCAGGTAAAAGTGCATACTAGACTCACCTCTGTGAGAAACACTAGTCCTTTGTGTAGTTTAGTGCCAACTTTAATATCCATTATTTATTGATGGAGAACGATCCTTTATATATGTATTCTTTCAACTGCAGTTTACCATACCTGGTGGCCGGCATGCTATGCACCATGCCAGCCTTATGCAGAATGGAGGAGCAGCACGCCTTCTGCGGGCTGCAGCTGCTGCAGCAACTGCCCCCCTTGAAGCCAAAATCTTTGCTAGAATTGTGCTTCGGAATCTTGAGCATCACCAAATAGAACCATCACTTTAATTTATCTGTGATCCGCCGGCAAAACATCTCTGTTTAGAATCGTTGATGGAGGCTGATTTCATGCTTAGTTACAATCTTCCGCGGACAACAGGACATTGCACCGCAAGGACACAATCTATAATCTTCGGTTTAACAAATCGGCTTGATCTTCAATTTTTCTTCCTCCCCCCATTCCTTAGGCATAAAAGATGGTTAATTTAGGTTCAAGTAACTTACTCCCTTTGTACCAAATCATATGAAGAAAAAGAGAAGATTGTTTAGATGGGGGAATAATTTGAAGAACTTGTACCTTAACCATTTTCAATTTTTGTTGGTATTCTTTGTGATGACGGTTTCTATATATTTTAAAGCTGTTTGAGACTCTTCGAGGCAACATTCTGATGAAAAATTTCACTAGTTAATTTTGTGTTCTATTGTTTTTATAGGTTGAGGTCGCACTTGGTGCGATGGCAAGTGCCTTCGTCCATAAGCGGTAGGTCTCGGGTTCGAGACTTGGGAGCAGCCTCTTCATAAATGGGGGTACGGCTAGCCGACATTTACCTCTTCCAGACCCTGCATAAAGCGGGAGCCTTGTGCACTGGGTACGACATGGGGTAAGGCTAGCCGACATTTACCTCTCCCAGGCCCTGCATAAAGCGGGAGCCTTGTGCACTGGGTACGACCTTTATTGTTTTTATAGGTAAGTGATAGCCGCAGCTCTTCTCCCGCTGCACACGCTTGTTGTGTCTGGCAAGGGAGAAAAATAAATAGGGTGAGCGGAAATCACCTCTTCCGCTTATCCGAAATAAGATTGGAATTCGATAATCTAAATATTGATAATCTGAATATAAATGGATTTGGATGTGGCTCCAGGTTGATCTAATTCGACTTAATATAACATAGTATTTGTTTTATTTAAATTTATAGATATTAGTTGAATTTTTCAGGTCAACCGGCCGATGCTCCTACTCCAACAACACTGATATTGTCAACAATATTAATAATAAAAATTAATAATACAATAAATGATGCTCCAAGCTAGCAAATCTGCTTGACCATGGCCACAGGTAGGGTGAAATTTCTTATATGCTCTCCGGACCCGAAAGGGGTGGATAACCATAATTTGCTATTAGTTGTCACCTTTTTATTAAAAAAAAGTTTCTAATGACATTTTTGAATTAGATCCGATAAGAAATATATCCAAATCCCATGCTAGTAGGATATGAGTCGACAAGTCAAATCCAATTATGCAGATCCGATGACCTGATTATAAATGGACCAAGATATGAATTGACTGATCTTATCCAAATCCGATCCGTTTACAAGTCTAGGTGAAGTAACGGTCCGAAAGGTGGAAGATATAAAAGTACAATAAAGTTGGGAGTCATTTACATACTCTACAACGTAGAGTCTCCGTAAAATTACTTAACAAAGTACAACATCAATGATTACGAAACAGTACAACATCAATGATTACGAAACAATATGGCAGCCGGCAGCCGGCAGCCGGCAATCGTAAAAGGAATTGTCACTCACTCTCCCTTCTCCAATGGTGCAAAAAATAAACAGACATAACAAGTCCCGTTCGACTATAGTGCATAGAGTAGTAAGAATATACGTAGTAGCGATCATTTCAGAGCGTTCTTGTGTATATTTCGTGTTACCTTTAAACCCCGAAGCTCACATTACACGACCCTCAGCACCACCTTCTGATGCTCACCGAGTCCAACAAGATCCAAGTAGTTGTTCCAGATTAACGAAAGTGTTGTTGGAAATGAAGGCTCTGCTATCTTGTGCTGCGTTGAGTCTTCGTCTTCCAAGTATGGCACAATGTACGTTTTCATGTCGCTTCGAGAGATCTGCAGATGGCCCCCCGACACATTTATGAACTTAACTTTTCCAGCTTCGTCCAAGGTTTTCAAACCAATCCAGTCTTCAGTGTACAACATGGTCTGCAGGACGATACGAGTTATACTCGAAAATCCTATAGCTTTCTAATATGGACTTTTCTCCACGGTCTTGGATTCAAAAGCATAATACTTGCGCAGGAAATATTGAGTAGATAAGTTACCTCTTGCGCAGGCAAAATAGGATCAAAGGCCCCGTCTGGGAAATATCCAAACCATGAGGTCTCCTTGGGTATCAGTACAGTGTCTTGCTCAAACTAACCATGGACGGACACGGGATGCAATCAGAAAGAGAAGTTAGAATTGCACATTACATCATTTTAGTTGGGCAAAGAAAAAATGTAACTCTAAACCTCACCATAATCAAGACTAAGTTCTCTAAGCTAGCAAACCGTTCCTTATAAGTGGAATTTCTCGACGCTTTGATTTCATTATTCAACTTTGGAAGGAACCTACACCCTTTTAAATAGCCATCGATGTCCTGAAGAACAGAAAAGTTGACCAAGTTTAGATCTTGGTGCTGGGGACATGTGGTTGAAGAAATCGCCAACGAAAAGGAATGTTTTAAGCTGAAAACGGAAGTATTGTACTCACTGTCGGGATTTTAAGATAACCACTTGGAGCCAAATGTTCCTGCAAACCCATCAAAGATAGGCAACTTAAATGGTATAAATTAACAACGGATATAAAATAAAATGGAGAGACGGGACAAGTGTGTCCCGTTCGAATACATACTCATTTTACTTTCTCAAGAAGCTTGAATGCAAAAAATAAAACCCAAATTAGAAACTTGAGAGTTCAACAAAGTTCAACCTGGATAAAGTCGCTGTAGATCTCTGACTGGATTAAGTCATCCAGAAGAACGCAAATCCATTCGCACTGCGAAATGTAAAGCATGTCATACCAAGCAGCAAAATCTTAGATATATCAATAACAAAACTAATGTATTCACTTGGCAGGCAACAACAAAATGCATATTCGATACTTTCTTTCCACAACACTTTTTAAGTCGATTTGTCTATTGTTGTCACTGGTTCCAAAAACCAAATGAACCTTTCTGTTTCTTTTCCGATTACGTTACAATGGAAATAGAATATTGACAAGCCGAAGTTTCTCACTTCAGGTTTTCAAAATTCGAAAACGAAAATGAGAACCACAATATCTTGTCTGATCTCATGGTATAGATCCTGGTTGTTTTACATTGAAACAATATTATAACTTAGTCATGGAATTAATTTTGAAGTAACATGGGCCATGGCCAAAGCAACGCCATGCTCCAAGTGCGGTGCGACACCTGAAATGTAGTTTTGTAACTGGATTCTATATAAAAAAAACTACTCGGATGAGGACATTACAGAGAATATAGCTCAAGTGAATACTTAAGTCCTTGTTCCAAAGGAAACATCATTATATTTCTGAACAATTCTCCACAACTGCGAATCCTTCTACGTTAAGGATGCTTTCATTTTACGTAAGGAACAACGCACGTAATTGAACTGTGTTGACAATATCTGAATCTTACATACTAAGGAAAGTAATCAAATATTTACTTTGTCCTAATAGATGTTGTCCTGTCTATCATGCTTTGTGTCCAAACTCTTCATTTAAGTGAAGTATTTTTCGAAATACAAGAACCCTACACACGTCTTGTTATACTTTATCAATAGTTTCAACGCGACAGAATATTTTCTGAAGCCAGAGAGGGAAGTGGAAGAAGCACATACTTTACAAAATGGAATAGAAGCGGTACCAGCATGAGGACCTGCTAGCGATATGAGATTTTTCACCTGTTTCACATACAATGATAATAGAATGGAATACTTGTTCGTTAGAAAACTGATAGCGAGACAAAATAAGTCAGCACGCTTAACATCGTACAATACACTAAGTAGCAATCAACAAGGAAATGTAACAAAACCCTTTTGAATAGCATGATAAAGGAATACACGCCTTGACAGATCTTCTAGTATATTGAGAAACTAGATCAAGATGAACTTTCTTTCCCAGGAAAGCGCTTGATTTATAGCATATTGTACGATGAAGAAAAATGATTTGCTAAGAAAAAGAACAGAGAAGGGAAATATCACTTATATGGTCATGTCAGTTCTTACAGGAGGTGCTCCGTCACAAAATTGAATTACTCCTCGTCCAATCACGTTACCCTGTGAAACAGAAGGAATGTGGAATATCTTATCAACTAAACCGTATGAATATAAATTTTGTAGTGTAAGATTAATTGAGTAACTAGAATGAATCAACGCAATCAGATCACAAAACGATCATAGAAGGCAACTAAAAGTCTAAAACTCCTAAAAGTTTCATGAAAATTGCTCCACCTTTTTACCAAGGCAATTACGCAATCATTAAACTACAATACAACTGAGCACACAATTACAACTGTATCTATGTACACCTTTCATGTCAGACGTTCTTCAATTTTTAACCTGGGAGCGTATCTGCGCTCAATTACCAGTACATCAAGATTGCAAAACAAAACAGAGGAAAAGGATGCAAGGTGAGGCCATCAGCTATATAGCATAGTCCTGTTAGAAAAAAGCTTTAACACTCTAAGGCCTCGTTTGATAGAGAGGATTAGCTTGGATAGGACTATTCAATATATTGAAGGCATTTTGAAGGGAGAAATGGACGACAACTTCTCTATTTTGTCCAAGTTGAAGATTACTTGTGAAGAAAAGTTGTCGCTTTTAATCCTACCATTTTTGTGGGGACTGGTAGGGATATCTTTTCTTCATGAGTAACCTTCAACTTGGGCAATATGGAAGTTCACATCCATTTCTTCCTTCAAAATGCCTTCAATTTAGTAAATAGTTCTATCCAAGTTAGCCCTCCCTATCAAACGAGGCCTAAATGTGTACAGGTGGTGAAGGATTATACATCTTTTTTTCTTTCTTTTTATTGCTGCATAATGGCTTATATATCTGATAAAGTACGAAATTTCATCGGGATATGGATGGGGAAGAAACATCATATAGCAGCAGATGCCGAAGGAAAAACATGACCGGGAAACTAATAACTTTTAAAACTGCTGCCAATCACCTGAGAAAGTCCAACCATGTTGTAACCGTCACTTAACTCACTCATATTTTTCACCTGTAATTGACATGAAAAATTGTTAAGAAAGATTTTATAATTAAATTTTTAGAATCAAGAATCGAATGCATTACCAAACCATATCACCACCTTCTCACAAGCAATGGCCGTCTGCAAGCAGAAGTATAATAAGTTAGTTTACACAATTACACACGGAGCATTATTGATAACAAGCAATCCTTGTACTATTAGTTCAAGAGTCACCTGTTCCGATAAGGGCATTGTCCAGGAATCCCACGATCCATCCCCAATTTCTCTACAAAGAAAAGGAAATGAGTACATTCAGAAAACAAGACTTCTGTGTCATGGAGAAGTTAGCCCGATCAGAGATGTTCGGTTTAAGTGTTGTTTTCTTTTAGTTAAAAAAAATAAAGCAAGCACCAACCAGTAAACTTGGCAAACCGATACATATTTTACATAATATTGATACATGTCACAGTTTCGGACATGGTCGTCCTATTCTAAGGCGCTCCGGTTCTGCGAGAAGACTAAGTAAGTTTTAATCTTGTTATGGCTTGACGGGGATGCACAAGTTCGGAATCTTTAAAGAAAGATTAACAAAGAATATTTTCATTGACATGATTATGTAGTGCAATCAGCTTATGGGCAGTGTGGAATGTGAAATCTTCAAAACTAGCGTAGACTCGGAATTGGGATATAACCAACGGTGAATAAGATGCCCATATACATCATAAATACAGTAAAATAGATTTTTATCTGCATACATGCAATGTCCTTGAGAACCTGACCAGTTGCTTAAGAGCTCAGTAAACAGTGCGACTCCTCGGTTGCTGCATTTATCACTGATTCCTGTCATTAAATACAAATAAAACCCCATCGTTATACAAATTAAACCAACTCTTCCCAGCATACTACAAGAATTCATCTAAAAAATAAGCTACTAATCCATTTAGACGCAACCATCAGAGAATCTGAGAGACGAAGTCATTTCAATTAAATTTCACTCGACCTTTGTTGCAGAAGCCCAAGCAACCAGATTTTATAAGGTAATTACTGAAAGAAGATATACAACGGTATCGCATAGTTTTCTAAGGGAAAGGGTGAAGCAAAGAACAAAGTCATCAGCAGAGTTTGTATTAAAATTAACGCATGCATACGAGACATCCTACTTCTTCGTAAGTACCAACCAACTCGGTGAGTCCACTATTTTTCTTCCTTTACGTAAGACGAACTAGCATGGACAACATGATAGCTACCTAAATAGATTGATACACTTCTAAGAAAACAATCTTTCTTCTCTCAAATGACGCAATACTAAGGCCGAAAAATAAAATATCTATAACCTATGTTTCTTAGCTGACTAAACTGAAAATCAATTGTCAACGAATGTTATTTATGTACACATTTTAACATCAAAACAGATCTAAAATGTCAATGATATAATGGGCGATGAATCGTCTCAACATTCGGGCACCAAATAGTAATAAGTTTCCCAGAAAAGCAAGGAGCAAGCAAACTACGTACAACAAAAAATTAACAATGTGAGAGCATCAACCCAATTCGGCAACAAAATTCAAAACTATAAAAGCAAACTAACAGATGCTAAGACTGGCAATTTGAAAGGGTAAAATTAGCAAATTATGCCACAGAAATAGAAGCTAACTAAACACCATAAAATTCAAATTTCCATTGAATTGCTTGTTCGTTCTAATTCACAACAAAAACCACTAAAAATAAAAGAAAATCTGCGGAACCCATGAAGTTGAAAAGAAAAACAAGAATATGAGAGAAATTACCATGAAAAACAACGAAAGGAACAGAGTGGGTTAGTGGGATGAGAGTGATGGTGAAGAAGAAGAAGAAGAAGAAAATGACTGGTACTGGTGGAGAAGACATTGTTGCCAACTGGGTTTTGCTTCTAGTTGCCAAAAGCTTTGGCCTTTGAGAATTTTAGAGGGATTAAGAGTTGAGAATCCTAAGATTTTGGGTTGTTTGGGACTCTTGAGAAAATTGTGTTTCATATGTTTAGAGAGAGAGAGGGAAAGCAGTTGGGTTGGACAGTTTTTGGAAGGAGAAGGCGCCAACTACCCTTCAAGGGGTTCGAGCTGACGATTTGCCATAAATACGAGAGGCACAGGAGTCTACTAACCCCATCCAAAAGTCATTTGAGTCAAACAACTACTCATTGACCATTTGTCAACAAACACGTGTTCTATTTTTTTTTTTTTTTTAAAGTGTTCTATTCAAGTGTTCTACTTTTTTTTTTCTTTTCAAATTCAAGTGATCTACTTGTTATATGGAAAAAATTTACTTTATATTTTTTATTGTCAAACTAGATTATTTTCATTAAATAAAAAAACTATTACAGGAAAAAAAGAGCCTAAATGGCAGTCCACAATCTAAATACAAACTCAATAACAAATAAGAAAATATAATAAAAAACTCAAAAGTGACAAGTTGAATAAAAAAATACTTAAAATTGGAATAGAAGCCAAATATGCCTCCATCGCAAGGCTGCCACCACCAAGAGAACGAACCAAAGGAATAGCTAGATCAACGGAAAATGGGGTGAGCGAGCTACCTGCGCAGTGAGCGCTTCCATAATCCTAACAAATAGTGCTAAAAACATTTTAACAGCCACCAAACATTCAAAGTTATTTGAGTCAAACAACTCATTGACAATTTGTCAACAAACGTGTTCTATTTGTTATAAGGAAAAAGCCTTTTACTTTATATTTATTTTATTTACAACATATTACCTTAGAAAATTTTAAAAAGCAAAACTAAAATTTTAGCCTTGAATAGAATTTTAACCAATTATTATAACTTTTTATAATTCTAACCATAACTTGACATAAATATAATTTTTTATCGATAATAGCCAAAATTTAACATTCGATTTTATAAATGTCACATTTTATAAATTAAAAAAAAAACAGAAAATCCACTTAATTATACTTAAATACCCTTCAAAATTAAAACTAAATAAACATAAACTAAGTAGTTTTCATAGAGAAAAAAAAGTCTAGGTTAGCAAAGAAACCAACGATCATATATAAGCAATAAGATCTGTGCAAACTCACTCACAACATTTTTCCCATCTTCCTTGTCGTAACCACCAGCATCAACTTACTAACTTCATTGGCCTCGCATTTTGGAAAACGATGTAGAGACCTATTCAAGGGTTTTGGACTTTAAGGATATTTAGGTCTATACACTTAAATTTTCTGCTATATTTAAATTTTTTTATAAAAGATGACATTTATAAAATTGGATATTAACTTTAACCTATTAATGATAAATACCCCATACAAATACTAAATTATTTTCTAGGGAATTTTAACGAAAAGCATCCGGTATTGTTCACTTTAACGAAAAACCACATTTTTACACTAAAAAGTCAATCATGGTACTATTCACTTTACCTTTTATTTTGTCCTTATCATAAAAACTCAAAGTTTTCAAGCCTTTTTCATTAGTTTTCCTTATTTTCTATTGGAATTCACACCTATTTACTCGCTCGACTACGTTCACACTGATTTCTCAGCCATTAAAGCTTCACTCCAAAGCTTTAGCCGCATTTCTTCTCAAGGATCATTCACTTCACGCTCATCATTCCATTCATGACACCCAGCACCCCACAATAGTTCTTCCGCTCCTCTCAAATACCCTAGAAGATAGTGGATTAAATTCCCTCCCTCCCATCCCCTCCAAAACTTCTCCACCACATTCCATTGCATTGGGCTCTCGAGGAGCCTAGTTGCTCATCTAAGTTAAAATCGACTAACCTAGCTCTTAGACCATGTAACGCAAGACTGAAGTCAGCTATAATTACAAAAATTAACAAAAGAATTATAAAAGTTAATTAAAAATACAAAAAAAATTATAACAAATCATAAAATTAATTAAAAATACAAATATATAAAAATTTTATTTTTATTTTTTATAAATACCTAACCATGTTCTTCCACCACCACATTTCAATACTTTCAAATATTTTCAACCAATCTTTTATTATCATCCGAAATAAAAAAATAAATTTTTTATTATTTTATAATTATTTTAATATGAATTGTCTGAATTATTTAATTTGTGAGTGGATATGCACTTGAATATTTACTATTCTATTAGAGAATTGAATTGCCTATTTCTCGTGGCCTTTTAAGGGTGGAAATGCTCTTGGATGGTAGGGGATGCATTGGATGCTCTGGAAGGCGATATAAATAGAAGTGCCTCATATAAAGTGTCCTAATAGTCAATTTTATGTTTCAAGTTCTGCATTGCCGTGTGTGATTACTGTTAGGGATTTTACTTTGTTCTACAATAAAGGGTGAGCGTGAGTTTGAGAGCTTGAAAAAAAAATTGTTGTGATGTTAGCTTATCACATTTGATTTGTGGGATGTATTAATTTTATTTTACGAACTTTAACGAAAAGTTCCTGGTACTATTCATTTTAACGAAAAACCACATTTTTACACTAAAAAAATCAATCATGATACTATTCACTTTACCTTTTATTTTGTCATTATCGTTGAAACTCAAAGTTTTCAAACCATTTTCATTAATTTTCCTTTTTATTTTTGTATAACGATATGTTTACGCTAGATGACAAGTGAAACAAAATATTATCTAAAAAACTTAGAACTTAAATAGTCATTTCATATTATAGTATATAATAGCATCTCTATTCAATATTTCAAATGTGATGTGCAGTGCCAATTAGGACTAAAATAAACTTTCTTCCAATTTGCTATAAGTGATGTGGGATTTAACTGCTTGATCTCCAACAACGATATATACACTAAGGGTCAATTTGGGATTGTTGTGCTTTTAAAAAATAAAATTATGTTGTGCTTTTAGATTAATCAATTGTAAGATAAAGCAGTTGAGTGTTTGATAATCTGTATTTTTAAAAGTGTTTGGTGAATTTTAATGTAAACATTGATATGATTGTACATAATAACAAAAATGGACATAGTAGTAAGGGTGGTGGCAACAACAGCGATACTGGGAGTAGTGGTGGTGATGGCAACGACAATGGTGGGGGTGTGGTGGTCGGGGTGTAGGGGTAGCAATAGTGTAGCAGTAGTGATGACAATTGTGGTGGTGGTGATTGGAGCGTTGTTGGCAGTGGCAGAGGCAACAATGGTGGTGGTGCTGGTTAGAGTGGTAAGGTTGGTGGTTGTAGTCGTAGGTCGTGGCGAAGACGATAATGGGTGCAAGCGGTGGCATTAGTAGTGGCGGTAGGGCCGATGATGGTGATAGTGAAGGCATCAACAATTGTAAAGGGTATGGTGGTGGTGCCAATATTGGTTATGGTGGTTAGGGTGTAGAGGTTACAATGGTGGTTGAGGAGGTGGCAATGGTGATGATGGTTGTCCAATGGAGATGTCAAATATGAATTGTCAAAATTTTATTGACTGATGTGACCATTTGAAGTTAATGTATTTCTTTCATTCCAGGAAATGTGTGTGTGTGTGTGTGTGTTTTTTTGTTGAACAAACAAAATTATCTACGCAAAGGGGAAATGGGAGGGTTTAACCTCACAATGAGCTAGCAATAATGTGGTTCAAATTCGCCTTTAACGAGAATCGAACCTAAAACCTCTTACTTAGAAGTAGGCCTGGCAAACGAGTCGTGTCTGTTGTGTTCGTGTCATTTTCGTGTAACATATATTATCTTAACGGGTCGTGTCGTATCACACCTGTTAACTTAATAGATTCTTAACAAGTCTGGTCACTTTACCCAACGAGTAAATTGACACGACCCATTAAGAAAAATATTTTTTTTTCTTAAATTTGCACATACCACACTTTGCCACATAAATATTACTTCAAAACATTAAAACACATAATTTAATATATATATATATATATATATAAATAATTATATTGTATAATTATTTTAGTTTTTAGGAGTATAAAATTATTAAATTAATATATATAGTTATTATAGTTTATTCATACTTTCATTAAGTATAACATAAGATTTTGTGGTATCCACTAGTGTAATTTTTTAAATTGAAGATCGAATTCATTCATTGTATTCATATAGGGTCAAGAAGTGTAGCTGTAAAAAATCATCAAAATCGAAGTTAAAATAACCGTTAAATCGTGATTTTTCGTTTTATAATCGTCGAAAAATTTTGTCCCGTTACTTGATCTCTGAATGTTTGTTTTTTACAATTTTTGGCGTATGCGATCTCGAAGTATATTCAAACATGTTTGACGGTTGGATCGTTGAAACTAGTTTCGTAGAATGCGTATCCCATCAAAACAATAGATTAATTAACACTTAAGAGTTTATTCATACTTTCATTAAGTATAACATAAGATTTTGTGGTATCCACTAGTGTAAATATTTTAAATTGAAGATCGAATTCATTCATTGTATTCATGTAGGGTCAAGGAGTGTAGCTGTAAAAATTCATCAAAATCGGAGTTAAAATAACCGTTAAATCGTGATTTTTCTTTTTATAACCGTCGAAAAATTTTGTCCCGTTACTTGATCTCTATATGTTTTTTTTTTCAATTTTTGGCGTATGCGATCTCGAAGTATATACAATCATGTTTGACGGTTTGGTCGTTGAAACTAGTTTTGTAGAATGCGTATCCCTTCAAAACAATAGATTCACTAACATTTAAGAGTTTATTCATAATTTCATTAAGTATAACATAAGTGTAAATATTTTAAATTGAAGATCAAATTCATTCATTATATTCATATAGGTCAAGGAGTGTAGCTGTAAAGAATCATCAAAATCAGAGTTAAAATAACCGTTAAATCGTGATTTTTCTTTTTATAACCGTCGAAAAGTTTTGTCCTGTTACTTGATCTCTGAATGTTTGTTTTTTTGCAATTTTTTGGTGTATGCGATCTCGGAGAATATACAAACATGCTTTACGGTTGGATCGTTGAAATTAGTTTCGTAGAATGCGTATCCCATCAAAACAATAGATTCATTAACACTTAAAGTTTATTCATACTTTCATTAAGTATAACATAACTAGTGTAAATATTTTAAATTGAAGATCGAATTCATTCATTGTATTTATATAGGGTCAAGGAGTGTAGCTGTA